CGCGGCGCCGGAGGCCCCGCAGGTGCCCGACCCGAGCCTGCCGCCGCCCTCACGCTGATGTCCCAAGACCCCACCTACACTGGCTAGGACCTTGGGTGTCTGGCCCCCCCGTGCCCACCCCACTAGACCTTAACCTTCCCAGGGTCTCTTTGGCGCCCGAGCACACAGGCTGGCAACGTGCTGGGCACGCAGCGCATGTTAAACTCTCTGTTAACCATCTCTTCCAAATACGTCTGCTCCGTGACAGTTTATGGCTGTGGTTGGCTCTCAAGCTAAAAGAGTCTAAAATACCTTAGTCAGGGGCCAAGAAAGATGGCACGATATTCAGTATAGCTTTAACGATAAATGTATGAACTTCATTCCATGTATTTTGGATTATATTATAAATGTTTTCCCGAAGTTCTCCTTGGTGCTGAAAACACGTTTCCTCAAAGGAACAATATTATAAGTTGAGTTACTACACAAGCTTATACAAATGTCATTTTGTGCATCATCTATACTATTCACTGCTGCCAACGGCGGATACCTCACCCCACCCCTACCTACTTGGATTTCAGGAAAGTTATGCCCTGGTGCCTGCTTGGTTGGATGAATGTAGTGTGATTGGCCTAAATGAGTCATGGTACTCTGATCTCCCTTCCCTGGTGACCGGGCTAGGGATAGGCACGTGATCCAGGTCTGCTCAGTGAGGTGTGAGGGGGCTTCCTATCTGGATGAAACTCAAGTCTCCAGAAAAGAAAGTCTCTGTCCTCACCCCTAATCTTCTTTGAGATGCCACCATGAGGACATAGTATCTGGCGTGATGGCAGCCATCTGCTGTTGGTGAGGTGACAAGCATGAGGAAAGACCAGAATGCTGAAGACAGTAGAGAGGAAGGATGGGCATGGCTGAACTGCTGAATGAACTGCCTACCTCCCAAGTCCTTGGTAAGTAAGCCATAAATACCCTGTGCTTTAAGCCACTACGAATTGCTCTGTAGTTGCTACTTGCAGCTCAATGCATTGGAACTGAAACAAAATCTTAACATTCTTCTAGGTGAAAATTATTCCAAGCTCCAGACAAAAAGACCTGGAACATTTCATTTAATTCAACGAGCTCTTGACGTGTACACAGACACCCTGCAAAGCGCAGCAGGTCCCAAAGATGGCTCAGAGACTTGCCTTTGCCTTCCAGGTTCTCACCAGGAGACAAACATGTAACTGATCCTAAAATTCATATAAAAATACAAAGGGCCCAGAATAGCCAAAACAACCTTGAAAAAGGACAAAGTTTGCAGGACACACACTTCTCAATTCCAAAACTTACTACAGAGCTGTAGTAATTAAGACTGTGTGACACTGCCTCCTCTTTAGCATAAGGAGACATATAGATCAATGGAACAGAATTAAAGTTCAGAAATAAACCCATACATCTATGGTCATTGGTTTTCTACAAAGATTCCGAGACAATTCAATGAGGAAACAATAGTCGTTGCAACAAATGGCGGTGCGACGATTGAATATTGACATGAAGAAAAATGAAATTGGACCCCTCCCTCACACTATATACAAAAATTAACTCAAAATTGTTTAGACCTAAACGTAAGAGCTAATACTATGAAACTCTTAAAACAAAACATAAGAAAAACTCTGTGTGACCTTGGATTACCTGATGGTTTCTTAGATATGACATCAAAAGCAAGCGCAAGCTACTGAAAAAAAGAATAAATTAGAGGTCAGGTTCATGGCACTTTGTCATAGCAGCCATAGGAAACTATCACAGGTACTCAGGATGAGCCACAGTAAGAAGACATCAGTGCTCCTGGACCTGAAAGATCAGAGGGAAAAGGCAGTGTTACCAGAGTCCCATGAAGGCTGAAGCAGTAGAGAAAGGCCACCAGACAAGAGGTGAGGTCCTAGAGCGCTGCAGCCATACCAGGAAAAGAGGACGCACTAAGAGAAGAGAAGTGGGGGCTGAAATCCCCTGGTCCCTCTTTCTTCATCTCCTTCTCTGCTTTTACCTCCCATTAGGTGAGGCCAACAGGAAGCCAGAGGGCAAGAGAACCTGTGTGATGCAGTCCATAGATCAGTCTCTGGGCAGAGCAGGGCCATGAAACATCCAGATGGGTTTGAGGTAGGTATGGGGACGAATGGTGCATAACCAGCAGCTGGTAAAGGGTGTTTCAGGGTCTATTTAGCTAGGTATAATAGAAACCCCACTACAGTGCCTTAACCAAAATAGTTACAATGTTTCTTGTGAAACTGGAAGTCTAGAAGTAGGCAGTTGGGATTGGTGCATTGGCTTAATTGCCTCAACATAGACGTGGCACATGTCACTGCTGCTCATAGTCTATTGGCCAGAGCTGGTCCCATGGCCTCAACCTAACCCCAAGACAGTCTGGGAAACATATTTTCTGTTTCTGTTTCCCATTCCTTCTTCTTTACTGTTGGAGCCCACTTTCTACCATGGAGGCCAGAAAACAAAACAAAATAAACAAAAGCCCCAGCTACTCACCTTTATTTCCCTCCTTTCCCTGTATCTGTGCCATGGAATGTGGCCCTATCTTGACCGTGGCCCTAAAGAGAAGTTTATTAGGGTCTTCTAAGAAACATTTTCTCCACAATAAAAATAGACACAATAAAAATAAAGGAAATGCTCCTCTTTAATCAAATATTGTCATGTCCACATATGTTGCTCAGAATATGGCAGCCATCTTGTGACCATGTGAGGACAAATGAACAAATTGACATTACAAGGTAAAAAGAACCCAAGTCCTTGATGACATAGCCAAGCTGCTTAACCAGCACTGCCACTACCCTTCCTCTGGGCATCTTGTTAGGGGTGGTAATGACTGTCATTGCTTAGACTGCTTTTCATCAGATGCTCTGTTATTTGTAGAAAAACAAATAATGCATTTCTGTCCTATTCAAGCTGACTTGGCTTAGATTTTCTAGTACTAAAAAAGAAAGAAAGAAAGAAAGAATTTTAACTCATGCAACCAGATGGATCCAGAAAGTAGGCAGTGTACCCATAACAGGAAAAGACTGATTAACAAGGGTGGTCACGCACAGTAATCAGGAACAGAGTGTTGTTGCAGGATGATGAAGCGGAGTGAGAACAGAGTGTTGAGAGGAGCTGATGATGAGTAGACCCTTTTCCTGGGAGCTGAAGCCTCTGGAACACCCTCCTAATGAACATAACATGACAATGAGGAACTGCAAAGCGAGGCATAACCCGAAGGGGGATATCTGGTCACCAGGACTTAATGAACACCAAGCAGAGAGGAGAGATACAGGAGATGAGTCTGAGGTAGAGCATGGGTCTTCTGGTGTCATGGAGTTTAAGCCAGGCTGTAGCTGGTTACCAGCTCTTGCAAATCGAATGGGAAAACATGTAAAATATCAAATGGGAAACAAAGTTTGTAGTAGCTCTGACATCATCACCTCTAGGGAAGACAGTCAACTACAGGTGGGATCCTTCTGGTGAGATCTGATTCAGTGCTAGGAATTCTGGACTTGAGGGGGCTACGTATGTCCAATCATGTCTGAGTTAGAGCATCAACAACGCATTTATTATGGGCTAGCATCACAGATATGTCCCTTGGTGTAATTTGATATTCGATAATGTCTCTCAGTTAGATCTCAGTACTCTTAATCTGCCAGGCTTCCGGGAAAGGCGGAAAGTTAGTAAAAACTTTCAACACCCTACTTCTCTGGTAGCTACTGCTGTGCTAGTGATGACATAAATCCGTGTTGGAAATCTGCCTCTTTACTGGGTCCTTCATTTATTAATAAATGCTCATCCCGTTCCTACTACGTGCTAAGCCACATGCTAGGTCCTGGAGATACTAAGTATGAAAGACAACAGACAAGGCCCTGCACTCACGGAGATTACAGTTTGGGGAGAAAGTTAGACATGAAGCTAATGAAAACAAAGATGGCTACATAATGGCCACTGTGTTAAGAGCTCGGAAGGAAATGATTGGCAACGAGGCAAAAATTGTGACCTAGATGGCAGGGTCAGGCCGTTCAGATGGGAAGGAGCGCAGGATGAGAGTCTGGGGTCGGGCGAGGTCGCTGGGGACATCAGAGCCCAAAGCCCAGCGCTCCATGTTTAGAAACTGCTTCACTCAAAGATGAAAAATCATCGCAAATCTATCAGACTAGACACTCTGAAGAGTCTCCTGCTACAAAACAAACAGATACCGTACATGCCACAACGTGTACGGCCCTGCTGGACTCAGAAAATAAAGGAATCCTGCAGGAACATAAAAGGAAGCTTAAACTGATAAAAGGGGAAATGCTGGGAACTCCAGGTGGGGAGCTGTTGACATGCCATGTGGACGAGCACCCACTGCCTCTGCGAGGGAGCTCAGAGGTGGCCGGGGGCGTGGGGCTGAGCATCAGCAGGTCCGCTATACAGACTCTTCAGTGCGAAGGCATCATGTGTCCATTAGGTGCCAGGCTCTGCAGAGTGAGCAAGACAGGCAAGATCCCTGCTGTCACAGGTGACACGAGACAGCAAAAGAGACAATAAACAAGGAACAGGTAAATAATTTCAGATCGTGGGAATATGAAAAAAATTAAAAAGCGTACCATGGTAAGGAATTATTTGGGGTTACTTTGGCTGGGGTGGTCAGGGGAGCCCTGTTGGAAAGCTAACATTTCAGTGAAGAACCAAATAATGAGAAGGAGCCAACCATACACTGTTCTGCGGGGAAGAACTTTCCAGATCTAGAGATTTCTCTTTTTCCCAAGCCTCTACTTCAAATCTAGACACTGATCCAAAAGCTTTTGAGAGGACACTGAGCCCAGGACTGGGACGTGGCTACCTTTATGGTCAAGGCCTCTGGGTTAGGGTGCCCAAGACACAGGATAATGCAAGAGGGACAGCTCCTCCCTCCTGGGCACAGACAGCAAAGGAAGCACTTGCTTTGAGGCAGTTTGGCCAGAGAGCAGGGGGGCTGCTTATATTCAGATACGCGACATAAACCCAGAGGAAGGCACGTGTGCCGCTCACCTGCGGCGAGCATGGGGCGAAGAGAGAGCGAGAGATTGTTAAATCTGTACGGCTTCAGTGACGTGTTAACTTTTAGTCTGCACTGCCAAATGCTAAGTACAAATGATTAATCAAAAAGGACAAATAGTTTCAAGACATAAGTGTCTTAAGTCCTACCCCTCTGCCACACACACACTGGTGTGTCCCTGGTTTTTTTTTTGGAAAAGACTACAGCCACTTTAGTAAACGGCACTCATATCAGAAACAGCAGCTGGCCAGTGAGAGTTCGGCACTTGAAGTGATTTCCGGCTGGCAGAAAACGAACAAAAAAAAATGGCGTCAGCTTGGGGATACTTTGTACCACGCTTAAGCCCTGTGCTTCACGCCATCCTCCCAAACTTTCTCTCGTTTGCTTTTCTTCCATTTTTTTTAAAAACATTAAAGAGAATTTATAAATAAAGAAATAAAAAGAGCCACAAATTAAAATTTTTTTTTTTCTAATCTCATATCACAGAATGTGTTAATATGATCACACCTGCTATGCGTTTGTCACCCAACACTAGACCGTCTGGCCTCAATAATGCTTTAGGCCAGTGCTTCTCGAACTTTAATGTGCCTTTGAATCACCTGGGGTGGGGAGGGTGTTAAAATTACAGATTCTGATTCTGGGAGGGGACCTCTAATCATTCATTCCTAACTCCCAGGGGATGCCGTGCGCTGACCGTGGTCGATGCTTTGAACTGCACTTGGGAGTCGCAGGTCAATTTAAGTGTGTTTACTCACCTTTGAAGGCCAGAATGGGATCTTTTTTTACTATTATTATTGAGATATAATTCACATACCATAAAATTCACACTTTTAAAGTGTGCCAGTCCGTGGTTTTGTTTTACTCACAGATCTGTGCAGCCATTGCCACAATCGATTTTAGAACATTTTCATCGCCCCAGGAAAAAAAAACCTTACTCTATTAGCAGTCGCTCCCTGTTACCCCAACTCTCCCCGCAGCCCCTGGCAACCACGAACTTATTTTGTTTCTACAGATTTGACTATTCTATACATTTTCTATAAATGGAATCATGCGATATGTTGTCTTTTGTGTCTGGCTCCTTACACCTAGCATAATGTTCTCGAGGTTCTCCCATGCTGTAGCAGGTGTTGGTACTTCTTTCCTTTTTATGACTAAATAATATTCCATTTATAGATATACCACATTATGTTTATCCATTCATCGATTGGTGAACATTTGAGTTGCTTCCACTTCTTTGCCATCATGAATGATACCTTGGCATTTTTCAGGAGTGCAAAGGGGTCCCTCATCGCGTGTCACAATCACTTGTTCATCCAGGGGGGAGTTACTGGGCCCTAGTCCGCAATGTTTGCTTTTGGCAGAGTTGAGAGCTGTGCTGGGGCAGATCCCACCCTGAGTCCGGACTGGGAAGGGAAGGGCGGTGGTGTCTGGGAAGTGGCTGCGTCTGCCCAGCGAAGCCACCGGCCTTTAGTTACATGTTTTCCCAATGCCAATTTCTGACTCCTCACCATATTTAGTTTACAGTTCGGTCAGGTGGTCTGACAACATTACTATCACCTTAAAAAAAAAAAATCTATTTATTTTAAAAGAATTTTAAACTTAGAGAAGTGGCAAGACGAACACAAACAGCTCCCATATCCCCAGCGGTTAATGTTCTATTTGGCCCCCCTCCCGCTCTGGCTATCGATCTTCGTTACTATCCTTTATGTGAGATCAAGTCGCAGACACGATGCCCATCTTTCCTCAACATGCCCACCCACCCCAAGGACTCCTTCCTACATCGCCGCAGCACAGCGTCCCTAACAGGAAATGAACACTATACTACACTGTCTCCCAGGCCTCACACTCCATTCAGATGTCACCAGCTGAAGGGAAGGAAGTAGGACTGCAGAGGGAGAAGTTGAATATAGAATTTTAAGTTGAAAATAATTTTCTCATCGGGAATTAAAAAGCGTTGTTCCATGGTCTGCTTGAAATGGATTCTGATTCAACAGTCACTGGACCAACATTTCAGGTCCTGCTAGACACGGAAAATACAATGTTAAATAAGACCAGGCCTCCGCTCTCATGGGGGAGGCAGATACTAAACAGAAACAAAAACAAGGAATAGGACTTGGTAGCGATGAGCGCTGTGAAGAATTTAAATAAGGCTAAGGGTAGAAATGCTGACTGGGAAGTGCTATTTCGGATATGAGGGGCGGGGACACTTCCTCTGAGGAGGTGACATTCGAGATGAGACTTGAATCACGAGAAGTAATGAGTCATGCAAGGATACAGGGAGATGGTATTCCAGTCAGAGGCAATGACCAAGAAAAGCCTTTGAGGATATGATGAGTCTGGCACATTCGAGAACCTTCCGGAAGGCACGGGTAGTTGGAGTGTGGTACACGAGGGAGAGTGCTGGACTCTGAGTCTCGTTACTATGTTCTGTTTCTAGAAACATTTGGGAACGGTGGTGGATTGAAGAGGGCCATGAATTCTTTGACACTCTTCCCGCTGAAGTGGGGGATCTATGTCTCCTCTTTGATCTGGGCCCAGTGACTGTCTGACCAATAGAATGCAGAGGAGGTGACATTGTGCCCGTTTTTACACACAGACCTGAAGAGATTGGCGTATTCTACTTCCTATCTGTCGAAACATTTCCTCTTGGAACCCATTCGCCATGCTGTAAGGACGCTCCAAGACACATAGAGAGGCCATGTGGAGGCCACAGATGAGCTTCCAGCCAAAGTCTGTGTCACCAGCCAGCCCCCAGAGCCCAGCCTCATTCAGCCTCCCCACTGAGCCTTCACATGACTCCGGGTTTAGCGTTTGTCTGACCACAGCCACATGAGGGCCCTCCCCCAAATGAAATAGCCTCGTTGAGCCTGGCTCACCCATAGAACTGTGAGAGGGATTTTTAAGTTAATGTGCCAGGTACCCACTGGGCCTTTTCAATCTGGAGATTCACCTCCTTGAACTTTGGGAAATATTCTTCTGTTACTTCTTCCTTCCACTTTTTGGTTCCATGTCTGCATTTCCTGTTAATCAGATGTGGGATCTCGTAGATTAATTCTCTAAGCCTCTATAAATATTTTTCCATATTTTAAATCTTCTTTCAATTCTATTTTGTTTTTGAGATATTTTATTGTTTGCCTTCAAACTTCTATTGAATTTTTAATTTCAGAATATATAGGAGGTTTGGTTTTTGTTTGTGATTTTGCTTTTTCTCTGGTTGGTAGGCATGGGGGTGGGGTGGGACGAGGTGAAGGGTTAGGCTCTGCTTATACCGAGTTTTAATTTTCAGCCCCAGTTCTGCTCCCTCCGCTGCTGGGGTGTTTCAGAGCCTGTCCTGGGTCTGCAGGGGACATGAAGCCTCCCTCGGGCTGAAGGCCACCCGCCCCCTCCCACCCCAGCCCTGGGCCGAGGCTCCTTTGCTCTGACTCCCTCATGACCAGACCTCCATCCACTGCCCGTTTTCCAACGAAACTGCATCGGTCTTTTGTCAGATGATGTGGTACCCTGAGTTTGCTTTGTTATTGTCCCAATAAACTTAAAAACCAAAACAACAACAACAAAAACGACAAAAAAACAACTTCCTCTCGCTAGCATTTTAATGAAGTCTCTTTAAACAAGGCATTAAATTTGTATTTTGTTAGCCTCCTTAATGGGAGTTTCTTTTTCACTGTGTACAGAAATAACCCAAAACGTTTTCTTTTTCTTTTTAGAAATCTACCTGTTTACTGTCGTATTAAACATTACTTTGAAGCATACTAAACATTACTATTTCCCTCTCAGAAGTTTTACATACTCATCAGTTCTAAGCATTACCTGGCATATGTTTTGTTTTCTTTGTGTTCTCTGCCGTATGCTAGTAATTTTCAGCGAGGTTCAATTTATGTGAATTCGAATCGGGCAAATAAGTCATGTGGAATAGAAGTATTAATAAAACTTCACCTCAGGAGCAAATTTCGAAATATTTCAAATCTTCTCAAATGAAAAACAAATTGCTCTTGTTCATTAGTCAGCGTGTTGGTCAAGACTCCTTTCAAGGCTGACTGGACGAATGCATGATAAAAGCTGCACTCACCGTTGTCACATGGTGACGCCCCTTCGGCTGATAAACCCACGTCAGCAGTTTGGGTCAGGATTGTGGGAACCACGCCGTTGATAGGCATTGGAATTTTGGCCTGCGATTGCGGTGTCAAAAGATTTTCATATCTCAAGGCAATTCTACCCAAGCATTAGGTATGGAGGGGAATGCGAGGACAATGGAAAAAAAAAAAACAAAAAACTTCTGGATTAATAAACCGAGAACAGACGTTAGATGTGGTAGAAAGCCATGAAGGGGACCCAAACGGAGCACCATGACATGCCAGATGGTTAATCTGGAAGGAGACACACTGTGCAATACAGAGGTGACACCCAGAAAGTGAAAGATAGCGCTAAGGGGGAATGAGCCGCAATGGCCGCAGGCCCAGGCCCTCTGCAAGTGTTCTCTCCGCTTCCATGCTTGTTCCCATGAGGGAATTTGACGTAAATGATCTGAGCATTGAACTATGCAAGAACTTCAGGAAAACATTATAAAATGTGATCGCCTTGAACAATTCTATTTGCGAATAAGGGTTTTCTGCTTTTAAAGGGTCTTTATGGATATCGTCTTGTTTAGGCCATGCTGGGTCTGTGGGGGGGGGGGGGGCACTATTTTACCGGATGAAATCGAGGCGCAAAGCATTTGGGCAATTGTCTCAAGTCACGGCTGGCAAGGAGGTGAATCAGGACTGAAAATCCAGACTTCTCATTTCAAACTCGCTGGCAGGTCCTTTGCTATCACAGCATTTCAGCTATTGCAAAACTCTGACTTCTTAAAGAATCTCTTTCCCAACCCAGTTAAAAATCTTAAATATGCAAAATAATAATAATAATAATAAGTTGTGATGAATGGACTTCAGTGCTCTGAAAACTAATTTTGAAAATAGATTACCTTTTAAGTTTTCTTGGAACAATTACTATTCACATGAGATGAAACTTCTAGAACAAAAAAAGAAAATTCGTGAGAAGACAATCTCCCTCTTTCC